CTTTTTTCGAGCACAGATGTATCCAAATCATATTTGTACAATCTCCTGTCATAGTGAGAGATGTGGGTCCGGCCTGAGAGCTGCTGTTATCTAGGCTGAGCAGCCAGGTGTGAGGCTGTGGCCTCACCTGGGACATGTACCACACCTCTAACAACACTCACTATCTGGAATCAAACAGTAATTTTATCTCGTTGTCACAAATAACCGCTGACAGCTGTTGATCCTTCACATTCCCTCAGAGATGGTGAATCTAGCTCACAATCCATAGCAAACATGGTTAATATATGTGCCTTATACTTGCATGGCAATTAATAATATGCACAATGACAAATTACAAACATTCAGAAAACAAAGTTACAGCCTCCATAACATTACTTATGTCAGTAAAACAACTGTTTGTTTTTTTAGATTCAGCATGAAAACTTGACATGAGAACTAGAGCTCAGGCTGCAGAGACAGAACAAAGATACACTACTGCCATCCAGTGCTGAAGTATTAGTACTACCTGCTGAGAGGTCAAATAAACACGTAGTCCATCTGCTACAAGATGTGACTACACAAGGATAACTCATTACAGCTATGCCATGCCTTTTCCATTTGTGGTCAGTTTTATGGCTTTTGAACTGTAAACATTGTTCCAAGGAAAAAGAAACACATAACGCTTGAGTTGTGACATTCTTATGTCACTGAAACTCTGAGGGCTGCTTCACTGTGCTTATATTAAACCTGGTAGTCAGTTAACTATTGGGAAAAATGTGTTGTTGGAATAATAAGGACTAAACTCTGTCTTATAATAAAAACAACAGCGTGTACAATAAAATAACAGTGCATGTGTATTTTATTGTGCTTTACAGATTATTAGAAGCACATGTTCTCGCTCTGAAACTGAAAGAAATTCAACTTAAGGCTATAATTGGTTGTTAATTATACCAATTAAATCCAATTCATCATAAGTGGATGGAGATGAAGAGGACATCTTTAAGAAGGATGTAAGACATGGCCTTTTATTCTAAACATTTGAAAGTGTGAAATTAGGCAGCGCTACTGAGATTTTCACACTCAACAGTTTACCATGTGTAAAAACAAAAACAACACTTTGGCTGCCAGTGGCCACACAGACATTCACTGTGTTCACAGATAGTCGAATGTTGAAAACTTTGAGTTTGTCTAATGAGTGACAACAAGGGACTATGGCAACAGAAAACTATTAACATTATGCATATTTTACTTTATAGTAATAAGGGGCACAAATTGGATATGTGCAACCTTTCCATATCCAGATGTGGAATGCAAGACAATACTGCAGTGCTGCACAGTTTTGTGGTACACTGATGATTGCCATTTTATGAGACCTGATACTCTTTAATACATTAAACATTACTACTATGTAACTGGTAATTACTATTATGTAGTATGAGCTGGCAACCATGCCGGAAGGGATAGTGTGTGGAGATAAGAACAGATATTCATGAGTAGCCGGATACTGAACAGGGAGACTGAACCGGCTCAACTTCCTGTTATACTCTGCTGCTGGAGGTCCATTTACAATTTAGATTTCTGTAGAAAATCTTCCACATGGACACATTTGTAGAGAAGGACCAGCAAGATAAAAATTGTTAGCATCCATAAGGTCAGTTATTCACACATATAGCTTTTCAGTCAGATAGGATTGAGTTAAAATATGTAGCACAAAAGCAGCATCTACAAATCAGCAAAGTTTTGTAAAACTGTGGCCAGCATGTGCCCAATCTCTGTAAACACCTGGTACAGTTCAAACAACAATGAACAGAACATGGTCTGATAATAATGTACTGTAATGCCAGTGTCTGAGTGCAGTGTTTAACAGTCAAGCAGTGACAGAAAATAGTGCACTTTGACCAGACATATGCAATAAACTAGCAGTCTGTTAAAAAAAAATTTAATCTTAAGAATGTAAAAATGCAATAAACTATTCCCATGACCATGTTTTACGACAGGCACTCAGTTCAAGACACTTCTGTCAGATTCACCCACCAGTCAGGGAATATTTTCCTATCTACATTACTTGTGAGACAGCTGCAGGACTCTCATGAATGTTGCAGCCACATATCAAGCTTCCTCAGGCAGTCCACAGTCATGACATGAACTATGTGCAAGCTTCCTCTCACACACACGTTTCATGGAGAGATAACTGGAGACCTCAGCGCAGTCCTGTCAGGAAAGTATTTACTTTTCTCTGTGTCCGCGTCAAGAGAACATCCACATGCAAGTTGTTTCTCATTCACAGCTCAAGGCATTTGCATATACAACATTTGTTCAGCTTTAACACAAATGAGCTGCATTGTCTTTCTCCAACCTGCTGTGAGGATTGTCCTCCACACTTTGAGATAAGTACAGCACCTTTCAAAATATCAGTGGATAATATATTTTTTTGTAAAAGAACCAAAACAAAAAACGTTCACTTGACTTAGTTCTAGTCTAGTGCTTTTTACTTCTCTACATTTATCTAACAACTATAGTTAAGATTTTAATTTAAAAACCATATGGCAATCTTATCTACTAAAAAATAAACCAATGGTTTCAAACCTTTTTGACTTGAGTCTTGAATTCTTCCAGTTCGGTCTCATTGTCAAATATTTGTCTTTGAGTTGTTAGCAGGTCCACTAAAGAGACATTTACACTTTAATCTGCTCAGGAGGTTTTCAAACTTTTATCTGGATTTTATATCCAGTACTTTTATTTTAGAAAAATCCCCAAAATGAATGTAAACTTGTGTAGTATAATGTTTTTTTCATTCTTATAAAATATTTAAAGTAGTTGACCAGCTGCAAAAGTAAAATGTTGCTTATACATTGTGGCATCAGCATTAACAATCTCATAAAGTCAGATATAATAATAATACTGTATATCAGTCACATGGGGACTACTTTTGATATTTATAGCCGATAACATTTACTTTGAAGTGTTTGATTTTTAATGATTTAACAGTATTTTTACATTGTTGTATTGGCACTTTTACTTAAGTGAAGGCTCTGACGTTCCACCGCTGGTTCTAGTGCAGTAAGAGGAGGGAGAGCTGGTTCTAATTGGGATGAGGAGATAGGCTGTAACCTTATCTGCAGAAAGCTGCTGTGTGCTGCATTATTTCATCTCTTCAAAATATGACAAAAAAACATCAGAGAATGGAAAAAGAATGACCTCAGACTTTGTAACCTGGCAGATATAATCCAATCATTCTGCTGAGGGCCTAACTCGTGTTTAACGCCAGTCTATACATCATACTGTATATCTAATTTAAGGCTGAGCTGACTGGTCTTTGAAGAGGTAGTTTTGAATTCACATTCCAGTTTCCCCTCCCAAACAGCAAATTATTTCTACTCCCGTGAGACGTGTGATTTCGGACTCAGAGTTGGAGCAAATCACTTGCAGACTACTTCATGAGGAGCTTATTAATCTGAGACAAGGGGTCTGGGATTCAAGTTGAAGTATAAACAACCTCATCATCAATGGACAACGTAAAAAAGCTTTGACTATATAGAGTGTGTGCTTGGTTCCACCTTAACAGCATCAACATACGTTCAGAGTTAGGTTTGATGCCAGATACCACAGAGAAAAGCTACGTCAAAAATGTGCCCCATAATTGGTAACAGTCTCTGAATTTATGTAAGCAAGGTAGGCTGTAATTAATCCCAGCACAATGAGGATCCTCTGCGGAGCGTGCTCATGTATTTGTTATTAGACGTCACCACAGGGCCACTCTGGAGCCCATCAGATAGTGTCTAAATACACTGCAATCAGATGGATTTTATTTTTTATTTTTTCATCCCCCACCAATGCCTCAGCAAAAATTACCAAAGGTTATCAGGGAGCATCTACCACCAGACTCTGACCTATATGAACCCACCCTCATTTCCCCTAAAACGTGCCTCAGTGCCTTCTTTCTTCCTCATTAAAATCCTTGAATCAGGCTGTTTAAATTAGGATGGCCTGCAGTTCTATTGCGAGAGTTGGAAGAGAGATGATGGGAAAGGCAGTTTGGAAATATGCTGAATGTACCTGGCACTTCTTATCTACCACATATTAGCAAAGTTGAGAAATGGTATTTGCCATGTTGCATTAGCCTGCTGCCGTCCCATCATCGCCTGCCATTCCCAGCAACAACACGTTCCAAATGCAGTCCAGATGTCTCAGCCATCAAGCTTCAATATTTCACTAACCCTGCATTAATCTTATCAAGTGTGTCACAGATCCCTGCCTGATAACATCTCACAGGATTTTAGAAAATCAGTGCCTGCAGCTGACCACAGCTTCACTACAAATTGAAATTGGTATCACCTTGCAGATTTATCTCCCACAAAAATAGCAAAATAAGCTGGAAGCCTAACAGTGAAATTAGTTGCATCCATCTGAAAGTCAGAAAATAGTGAAACTTAAATAATCCACATAGGGCAAACAGTAACTAACCCCAGTGCTGGACTTAAAGCACAATTTTGTGGTGCATTAAAAGGCTAATCTAACTCTATGATAAAACTATTAACATAAATTGTTACATTTAAGAGGTTTGCTAAGCCCATTAAATATGACACAGTACAAAACTATAATAACCACATTATTACAGTTTCTCTTCTCAGCATCACAACTAATGTATAATTTAAAATATAAAGGAGGGGTTCCAAACTTCTTAATTTCAAGGGCCCCCAGGAGTTTGTTGTTATCTCCTCTTATATTATATAATATATATTATTGTATTTTTATTCAATTATTTTTAGGTTTGAAAATAATTCTCACTATAAAACTATACTACTGTAATCAATCATAACGACTAACCTTATTTCTTCCCTGTTGCTTCCAAAAATTATGATAAGATCTAAAGTATTCTACCTATATTAAATATATTACTATATATATTATTTTACTGGGGACCCCCTACAACCCACTAAAGGACCCTTGTCAGTCCCCAGGTCCCTGTTTGAAAAGCACTGGTATAAAGACTTAAATAAAAATAAATAAATGATGTGCAGTTCAGAGATTTTAAGAGCGATTTTTATACATACAATATATTCCATACTGTATAATTCATACTTGTGGACAGACTAAGAGTTCAGTTCAGGCCTCCTACTCGCCTCTCCTGCTTTTCTTAATAATACATGTCCACAGACCACTAGAAACACCAGCACACTGGTAACTGCTGACAGACCTGAGGCTTGCTTTGCTGAAGAAACTGGATTGTCAAATAAGTTAAAAACAATAACTTTCCTGATGCTCACATGAGTGAGCAGTTTCATATTAGTGAAGAGAAATTATACTTTCAATAGATCAATTTTCATCCATACTGAAAAAAGCTGATGGAGGTACTTCGCATTATCGGTAATAAAGAAGAAAAAAAAAGGATTTGGATTGTCACCTTGAAACAAACACAAATATTTGGGAAATCAGATGTTTTTATTAAATTCTGTTACACATTTTGTAATAATTAAATCTGACACATCTGCAAGCTCATGTTTATTTTCTGGACAAAACTGTGAACAGTTACCATTGTGCCAAAACAGTCTGCTACACCTGCTGTTGAGGTTTAAGTGCATATCATTTTTAACACACTAAAATAAAAAAATCATCATACAACACCCTCAGGCTCAAAAAGCCATGACATCATCAGTTTCAGTATACTGACAAGAAACATTTGCTTAAAATTTAGAATATAAAAACTCCTATTCAACAGCAAGTATTATTATTCCTGCAGGACACTGAAACAACTGAGGCCAATACAGACTGAATGAGAACTAAGTAAGCTAGTTTCTCAACCTGCCATTCAATTTCCTGAGCTGAGTCTGGGATACCAACACTGCCTTCACACCGTGCAAAGACCCTTTTCCTCTCTTAAGAATCCTTGTCCTTGGAGGGAAAATCCTGTTTGATGGGTCCTGATTGCAAGGTCCAAAGCCTGTTTCCCTCAGGGCCAAGGTCACACTGGTTTCCCCAGCTCTGGCCTTCCAGGATCAGTCTTCCTCTGAGGAGAGCTGGGCTCCTTCATCATGAACCTCTCTGTAGGCAGCCATGGGGCCACCATCAGGAGTGTAGCTCCCCATAGAGATCTTCAGTCCCTCAGACAGTTTCTGGGCTGCCAGCTTGGCCTGCAACTCCTGAAATTAAACACAACACAGAAAGAGAAAAAGTTGACATGAATAGGCTCGTGAACAGAAAACCAGCACATTATCATAAAGCAGCACAGCCGTAGCTGTTAAACCCTCAACAAAAGTAGGACTGATAATAAGCTTAACAGGCCTCCTTAAGTTGACAACAGCACACTGTTTGACGTTTGGCTCTGAAGTCATTACTCTAGATGTGAAGTGATACACGATGCCTACACTGCCTGAACGCTGCCCTCTAGAGCTGGTGAAGGGATCTGATGTGGACTTCACATTAATTGTTTTAATTCCACATTTGATCAGATGAGAAAATGTCACAAGTCACCACTGTATAAACTCTTTGTTTGTACGCAGCCCTTTCATTCATCTAATGGGGCCAGTCCAGAGCTGCCGACATACAGGGCTCCAGAAAAAAAAAAAAATGCAGGGTCGTCCAGCAAAATAGTTTCTAGCCGCTCAACTTTTGTTGCACCACAATGCAAGTCCATCTGTCACTTTGGTGGCCAATCTAATACATGCAAGAGCACATTTATTAGTAATTTGTAATGTGAACACTACATTTTACATTTACAAAATTGTGCTGATAACACCCCTGTGAGCAACAACGTAGTCACATCCTTTCTCATAATATAAACATTGTGCAGTGTTTTGCTGTCCAATAAGCTTTCGAAATAATGTATCTATTATCAAACTACATATTCTGGATCATAATTTTAATGTCTTAACAGCACACACCTGCACCAATACAGCCCGTATTCAAATACTGTTATGTCAACATGTTACCACCCAGCATGGTGAGGAGTCATATTTGTGTATTCAAAGACTTCTTTTTACTCCGTCCGTCTGCCCACAGTTTAATGTATACAGTGTAAATATAGGACAAATGGGTACTAGATGACTGCACTTACGAGTTGCTTCTTGACTTGTTCCTTCAGGAGGACAGCCGACTCATCCAGAGACAGAAGCTGGGCTGGACTGTAATGGAGAGGAGGCTGTCTTGCAGCAGTGATGTCATCCAGGTGTTTTCTGTCCCGCTCCTTCTTGGCCTGTGCAGAGAGCGGTGATGAGCCTTCAGAGGACTGACTTGGTGATGAGGATCCTGAGGGAGAGATGTCACTTCTGTGGGGCAGCCTGGAAACACAATTGAGACGTTTAGAATTAAATAACTAATAAGAACTATGAAAGACAGCAACATAATATATAGTTTTAATGGTTTACTAAAATAATCATCACTCACTGATTTGGTTTGAATTTTTGCTTCCTGGGAGTTGAAGTATTCTCTGTTCTTTCCAGGACAGTTACATAGTGAGGCTTTTTTGGTATCTGCTGTCTGAGAAAGTAATTGTCTCTTGCTGTGCTGTTTAATGGGTCTTTGGACTCGCTACTGAAACCAGTACTAGTTTCAGACAGTCTGACCCTTTCCAAGGCCTCCACAAGGTCTCCCTCTTTTGTCTCATCAGAGTTCAGAGAGGACCCAGCAGCAGTCGTCTCCATGGTTTCACCAGCAGCTGCTCTGGACAAAAACTGGTCCTGTGGCTCATCCAAAGAGTTGTTTTCCTGCACATCAGATGAGGCAGGTGAGGTCTCCTGCATCGCATCACCTGCAGCAGCCTCACGTTGCCTGTTTCGGTGGGAGGCTGCTGGTATGTTGGGGATAGCACGTTGATGGGTAGTGAAAGCCTGCTGGTACTTGGACTGAAACTCTTTCCTGGCAGCAAAGACCGAGCTCTGTCTCCTCTCCTCTTCATCGTGGTGTTCAATGGCAAGGCGCACTTTCTCTGCAAATTCTTTGATCTTCTTCCCTTTGTCAGGAAGAGTCTGTACTAACCTCCTGCAAACAATACAACCCCATCATTTCATGTTATATTTAAAACAAGCATTCAAGATACAGAATGGAGACATTAAACAAATAAACCAACATTAAATGTCTTGGTGGTATTGTGGATTATGGTAATAGAGACGCTCCCACTCTCCTGTAGGTGTTCATTTGAGTTAAAATATAATTTGTCTCACATCATTTTAATATTCATGAAACCATTCACTGAGCCCCTATAAAAAGATTCTGCCTTTGTTATGTTATCCATTTATTTAATCAGCTTTTTTCTTTTTCACCCATCTGTATTTTATCTTAAATAATTTCATATATCGCATCCGACATTCAAATAGTTGTATAATTAAGTTGTACAATATATTCTATTACTATCTGATCTAATACTACTGTAAAACCATAATAGTTGTGTAGAACTATTTTGACCGCAGTCTGTTTTTTCCATTGTAAAAATGTATTACAATTGCAAATATTACTTGACATAATAGTTTCATTTAAAACTGGCTCAGATAATCTAACGTGTATATTTAAATCTACAGTGTGTGCATTTAAGTCTAGCTATGTTGTAATAATTCTGCAGCACTGTACTGGAGGCTCTGTATCATAAACACAGCAAAGCTTTGCACTATTTTCTCTGTTCTGTAATATTAAAGACAAAATATGTGGAGAGAAAAAAAAACACCACTATAATGTAGTGCTACAGTGATACCCTGGACTACAAAACTTGTTCTCCAGATATAGGGTTTGTTTGGTTCAGACCCCATCATATCATTATGATTTAAAGAGTTTTTTCAGTGAAAATAAAAACTGTGGGGCAAAAAGGATCATTCCCACTAATCTCTAATCATATTACAATGTCCAAATCTGCCAAAATAATCGGAATATGATTTTTTACCACATGGTGCATCCCTAGTTTAAAGTTACAGCTTTGCACTATTTTCTCTCAGAAACAGTAGCCTCACATCGCTGTTTTAATTTTTTTTATTAAACACAAATATAATGTGTTCATTGTAGGGGGAAATATATCAAATAGTACATATCTGAGCTGAAGCAAACATGTGTCTTCTGTCATACTGCCATCACATCATCAAACTACATCAGAGCTACTTTGACAGGAGGCAGGTGGCTAGAAAGGTTCCCAGTTTGTTTACCACAGAGGAACAAACTCTGATAGTGTCAACTTACTGGTTAGAGAGTATCTTCTCCTGTCGCAGGAGCAGTTCTTGGAGGTCTTCTTTTCTCTGGTGTCTGAGGTCTCCCACCTGTCCCTGGCGCTCTGTCCACGACGAGGACATCACTGTGAGTTAGTTAGTTAGTGCTAGTAAGCGCTAGCTACAGCCATTCACAAACAGCAGGAGCTTACGTCTCAGTTTAACAACAATAACGACAACAACAACAACAACGTACGAACTCTAATCACATGTTAGCCAGCTCAAAACGCCCCCTGTTAACTGGCTCTTTTATAGTTAAAGAGAGAGGTTTCTGAAGGCGGCAGTTCACTTCTTCAACATGAGACAACAACATTTCAAAGTGGGGGGCTCTGCTTCTTCTTCTACGGCGGAAATCAACCATGTGAGGTGCAGCTCTAGCGCCCCCCGCCGCACAGGCCAGTGTAACGCACCGCTTCGTCCTGTCACAGCCAGAGAAGGTGATTTGCTGCCCTCTGCAGGTCAATTGTAGTCATCAGCGCTAAGCGTACATTTCAAAGAGTGACAGGCAGTTCTTTATATAAGATATTTTCTTCTCTTTAATCAGTGCAGTCAGCCTAAACAGGCTTCCCAGTCTCACATTTTCCATAGCTGCATTTCCTGTCCGGATGTTTCCCAACCACTGTGCCAAGCCATTTTTCACTCAACTCCACGAACAATGACCCAACTTCAACCAAGAGGTAACAGCTGTGTCCTTTATATCCCTTCTCAGAGTTCAAAGTCAGTTTAACTTTTGGTTGCAGCTGTACAGCTGGAACAAAATCTCAAAAATATATTTTTCCTTTGATTTATTATGTTACAGCTTTCTCTTCTTCAGTGCTTGTATTAGACATTTAGTCCTGTGTACCAAGTCAGATCACACAAGACACTGTAAAACATTTGGCCTTTTTGCAGTTATCTTCTTTCTGTGTACCCTCACCCTCTCTCTCTCTTTGGAGATGTTGGAAATACCCTATCTGCACCCCACACAGAAGACAGTTCCTCAAAATATACTCTAATACTGAGCTGTTGCATATTTACATAAAGTTGATCTGGAGTTCAGTGGTTATGCATGACATTTATGTAAAATTGGGAAATCGACTCATTAGAAATGGAAGGAATACAAACAAGCCCTTTTGTGTGTAAAATTGGGATCCACAATGAACAATGAAGTAGTCATATATAAGCTTAAGGCTTTAGAGAATGAGGTTGTACAGTATGTAAGTGCATGCACTGACACAATCAGCCTGTCTGGTTACTTATACAGTAAAGTCTTTATTATCCAAACGTACGCTGGCCTCTTAACATGAGTCGCACTGTGATATGTATCGTTAAGGAAAAGGCACGTCATGAAACACAGTTGTGGCAGTGCAGATAACAGCTGGATAATACTTGTGCCTGTGGCTCAGGAATGGCAGTCACCTCAATAAGGTCGATATCTATAAAGTGATTTAACAGTTTTATCATTAGCATAAAAATGCACTTCATATTACATTGTTATTATTACCCTGTCGCCAATTTAAAGAGATTCACTCCCACCACCAGTATCAAATACTAGGCTGTTCACAAAGGCACAAAGCATGTTAATAAATATTTTTGTGAAAATGTGAAAAATAAGAAAATAATATTCATTTAATTTGTACAGAGCCAATATAAAATGAGGAAAATACACACAATAACCTTATCAACCTTCATATAGGAGTCAATGCTCCACAGGAAACATAGGCTACATTTACTGTAAACAAAACAAATATAATCCTTCTGTATGTTATTTACAAAATATTTTTACATTACACATTATTTACACCCAACAGCAACCAACATTTTATTAATGGTGCTATGTGCAAATGGCTGAAAAGACTTTTCACATCATCAACCAGAATCATATTCTGAACCATAAGACTTAATAACACATGTGTCAGCTTTTGAGTATTAAAAAAAAAGTCACATTTGGTTATTGTTTAAAAGAGATAATCAACCAAAGATAAAATGAGACCAAAGACAATTGACTTAAATAATAGTTCAACATTTTATAAATTACACTCATTCACTTTATGCTGAGAGTTAGAAGAGAGGATTAATACCTCTCGTATGATAAATAATGTAACTGCTGTTAACTTTAACTACAGCAACATGTTTACTGTACAGTCATTATGTATAGATTTGCTTTATGCTAAGCTAACTGCTGCTACATATAATTTAGACTGGAAACTGTTTACTGTTCTGTCCACAAGTATCAAAATCCACCTACCAGCACCTCTAAAGTGTGAATAGATTTCACAGGAGTTTGTGTTTTCTTTTACAAATTGAATAAATACATATAATGTTGTTAATCAGCTGTAGAGATGACGATATGTAGGTTTTGTGTTATTTGGACAAAGCCTGCAGCCTAGGTGTTTCCCCCTGTCTTGTTGCTAAGCTAAGCTAACAATAGCTTCATATTTAACATAAAAAAATGAAACTGATTTTGAACATATCATCAAACTCGAGAGAATGTGTATTTCCCAAAATGTCAAACTACTCCTTCAAGTTCACTCTATATTAATATTTGCTGTTATTTCCATTAGTTTCATGAATGGTGAATAAACTTGAGGGGCTCTCGATCTTGGTCGAGAAGAGAACAAGGATGAAGTGGATTCATCTGGACTTGACTGTGTGTCTGTGTCTGCGTCCACCTGATCTCTCCTGGACGAGACCTGACTCGCAGGAGACTCAGATGCAGACGAGGGAGTGTAGGAGAATGTCCCACTTGTTACTGATGGATTGGACTGCAGGAGGCGGCTGTACTGGACAGGAGTGTACCTCAGTAAACTGGAATCCAGCCTGCTGGGCGGAGGGGTATTAGACTTAAACGTCCTTGGTTGGGTGGGTGTTGTCAAGTAGTGGAATGGATGTTGAATGGGAGATGTAGGGGATGAAGTTTGTGTGGGAGATGAAGGTTGTGTGGAAAATGAAGGTTGTGTGGGAGATGAAGGTTGTGTGGAAAATGAAGGTTGTGTGGGAGATGAAGGTTGTGTGGAAAATGAAGGTTGTATGAAAGATGAAGGTTGTGTTGGAGATGAAGGTTGTATGGGAGATGAGGGTTGTATGGGAGATGGAGGTTGTATGGGGGGTGGACGTTGTGTTAGAGATGGAGGTTGTATGGGGGGTGGATGTTGTGTTGGAGATGAGGGTTGAGTGGGTGACGGAGGTTTCACTGATGATGGAGGTTTCATTGGTGATGGAGGTTTCACTGATGATGGAGGTGGAAGGAGTGGTGGGTGTTGTATGGGATGGAGATGAGTTGGTTCACGCTGAACATCATGTCTTTGTGCTTCATGTCTGCAGATGCACAGTCACACATCAGAGTGAGAAAACCACCTCCAAATGAAGCACCAGATATATAACCTGATTCTGCCAAATATCTTTTCCAACTTTGTTTCTTACCTGGGGAGCAGATCACAGCCTACTCCTATCTCCCTGGTTTCCAAAAACTCTTGCGGTCTATTCTGTGTGGACATAAAATACTTCAGCTTGTCTTCTAATTCATTATTCTAGGAAAAGGAAAAGAGGAAACAACACTGTCAGGTCAGACACATGCAAAAGATCGAAGTCACTTTACACATGAAAGGGATGTGATAGGTGTAGTGACACAAGGAAACCACACAGACATTGTTGAAAGCTCAGGATATCCAGCGCTCAGCAGCCAGGGCAATCATGTGCCACCATGTAGGAGATTGCCACACCACACCATGATTAAAACAGGCATAAGCACATAGGGAAGTAGTCGTCTTACCTCACACTCAACTATTGCAATTCTGTCCAGAAGCTCCGAGATGAACATATCCTTCTGAGCCACTTGAGCTCGCAGTGATTCAACCTTCACAAAGAGTTCAGTTGCAATTATTATGTGTTTTCAGTCAGATCTCTGCTTCGTTGATTCCATCAAACATTGTTATCTTTGTATGTTGATTGCTGGCAGTAAGTGTGTAACTTCCTAATAATGTTTTTAGAACGATAAGGATGTCTCCTAGAATTTCTTTTCTGAGTTACACTCCTATTCTTACATTTAGATTTCAATTTATTTCTCCTTCATTTTGTAAATGTACATGAATTTTATCCTTTTACTTTTTATTTTAATTAATTTCTTTATTGCTTATATTTGCTACTATTCATACAATCCTGTATATTTTATGTAATCCTTTTATATAGATGAAAATAAGCACTGACACAATAATATACTGTGTATATGTTTTTCTACGCTCGATTGTGATTCTTATGCACCAATGTACCAAGATTCCTCGTATGTGAAAACTTACTTGGCAATAAAGCTGATTCTGATTCTGATTATTTTCTTAGAAGTTTCCTGGAAATAATTATTATTTGATGCTAATTTTAGACAAAATAGGAATAGAAAGAAAAGCTGCATTCAAACCAAACATTATTCATTTTAATTGAAAACTTGCCTGTAGACAATTGTTAAATTGTTGTTGTTGTTGTTGGAGGTTTGGCTGCTGCGCATTTCAGAGTTTCTAAGATGCACTAATAATTCATTATTAATAATAAGACGTGTTCTAATCAAGCACTGCCGCTATCTTCCCTATATACTACATAATAACATAGTTATTGCCAGGAATCTTCTTGGAAATTATTCAGAAATACAATTACAGCAAAAAACAGTCTGTGCAACACTTCAAGAATCATACCGTGAGATATGATGGATACTGAATGGTGTCACTGTAATACTTTAATCACTAAACCCTTTATTTGCACATTATGTGTGTCTATCTTAACCACTAGGCCACCATGGCACTCCACCTTTTATTGACTCTGGGCCAGATGAAGTTTATATTGCTTATGTGCAACTCAACCGTACTCTGGAGAAAAACTTCTACTACTTCAGCTGAGGTATGTCTCCATCATCCACGCCCATTATCAAAACATAATTAGAAAAGAACAGCTAATGCTGGTGACTGGACAGTATTCACGCACAGATAAATAAACACTCCTCACCTCCTCAATCATTCCTTTGACTTTCCGCTGCTGGCAGAACACCATGTCGTTCAAGTGTTTGATCCTCTCACGGAGATCCACAGTTTCAGACTGCAGCTCCTTGGACCTAAACAGGACCAACAACAACCAGTTAAACCCATATAAATCCTTGTATTTTCCAGAAATGTGCAGCCAGGTCAGCAGCTTCTCAAATCGAGGATACAAACCCTAATCCAAACCCTAAGCCCATGCAAAACAATCTCAACTCAAGGTGCTCTTGAACATCTTCAGATGCAACTTTATGACAACCTAGAAAACGCCAACTACTGATGAAGACTGTGTGATACAGTTAAAAAAGAAAGCTAGTGAATGCACCTCTAGTTGGGATTGTTTTGTCATCCTGGTGTTTGTTTATGAGGACATCCTTTTTGTACCTTTTGGCTACAGTTGCATCAGTTTTGTCCGTCAGCTCCAACAAGCGGAGACGCTGTTCAGAGTCCTGCAGCTTTTTTTGGAGTTGACTCTTTTCCTGTAAGAAACATTTTTTATTATAAGTTTTTATTGTCTGCAAACAGTGCAGATAGCCTTTTGTTAAGTTAAAATGTTCCTTACTTTCCCCATACAGTCCAGTAGACGCTCCACTTCAAGGATCCTCTGGTCCCTCTCAGCAATCTTGGCTTCTGCAATCTTGATGTTGCTCTCTGCTTCCTCTAGTCGCCTGATGTACTCATCAAGTTGAGCCTGTGTGAACAGAAATACATTTCAGTTTAGACGTTGGACTGCCTTTAAAATGGCTCATCAAATTATCAAGAATGTACAGTAGTAATTTTTGGATGAATGATCACACTGCATCATAATCTTTGTAAAATGTGTCAGAACCAAAAATATTTTAGACATCTTCAGTTATCATCACACATCTATCCTGTTCTTATAACCCGTATGTTTTGGTTCCTGTTGACATTGAAACTATATGTGCATGATGGTGAATGAGGACTAAAGAATGCAGACCTGTAGGTTTTCAATCTCCTCCCTGTGTTTCCGTTGTTCCTCCTGCAGCTTTTCCTCATACTCCTGCTGTAGCTTTGCTGAGAGCTCCTGCAGCGCCTGAGTGTTGGCCTCCCGTGAAGACTCCACCTGGACAATTCACAGCACAGCAGAAATTAAGACTATGTGAGGCTGATTATTCCATATTCACACTAGAATATAAGATGCAGATACAGCTAATGTGTTACTGTACTCAAGTTAGATGATCTGCTTCATCAAAACACACTGATTTACCTACTATTACTCATTTGTTTTAATTAATTTAAATTGGGGTAATTTGCTCTCCAATTGAGAGTTTTGTCATTACACAGACCATAGATGAACTTTTGGGACTATATTGATAATCAGTTAAGTTTTATTTTTACCTTTGATTAAAAAACATATGGTATCAGGCAAAGAATAATTTCTACATGTGAAGCGTTCCCACATTTCTTTGTTAGCTGTCATGCAGTGCCACACTGTTACTGACTCATCAGACCATTTGTGCAGCCACTCTTCACGCCAGCTGGGTGACCGGTATCTCAGTTAATGTGGCGGAGGACATACTTCCACCGTGATGTTTTTAAATTTGTGACTGCATGAGGGTGTGTGTGTGTGTGTGTGTGTGTGTGTGTGTGTGTGTGTGTGTGTGTGTGTGTGTGTGTGTGTGCACACAAAGAGATGTGTATGCAGGATTACCTGTAGCCTCAAAGTCTGGTTTTCAGCCTGTGCAGCAGCCAGCTCCTTCTCCTTATCTCTGAGTTTTTCTTGGGTTTTCTCACAGGTGCTTCGCAAACTCTTCACCTCCTCTCTCCTGTCTACTCTGTTCTGACAGTTCTCCAGAAGGGATTTCTGCAAAGGAAACTTCTTTTACTTATGAAGTCTTTTCTGTGATGGCATGCGGCTGCCACGGAGGAGATCTTCACTGGTTCATTGACATTGATTTGTTACCTGCAGGCCGATATTAGCAGATATAAGGGAGCTGTTCATCTGATCAAAGTTCTCCATGGCTGTCGTCCGGATCTTCACCTCTGACTCCAGACTCCTTCGCTGTGAATTGGCAGCCTGCAGACACACATGACACCGCATTTTCACATTTATTCACAGCTTCACAAACTGGAGTTTGATGAGCAGTCACACGGTGTTACATAATTCATTACCCTGATTTCCTGCGAAAGCTTCTGCATTGATTGCTGCATTCCTCCGAACTGCCCGTACATCCGCTCTCTCACCTTCTCTAAAGAATCTCTCACCTGTATAGAGATACACAGAACATACAGATATATCCTACAGTTCAGTAGATTAAGTGACATTAAAACAATGAAGTGTTGACCTGAAGGCTTGGCTGCTTGTTGTGTTAGTTTCCACTCACCTCCCTGATGTACTTCATCTCATCGTGAAGGTGACTGACTGTCCACTCACGCGCCATCACCTCCTGCTGTCTGTCCGATCCCGTTGTCTGCACAACGCCGTACACTTTGGGCCCATGATGCTGCAGCGAGGTCTCTGGCACCCCATTGGTCATGTCTCCAAGGTGCTGAGGGAGACAGGATCACACCGCTCAGGTTTCTGTAGCCACCCTCCACTGAGGCTGACTTATACTGTCATTGTGTTTGTGTGTTCGGGTGCTTGCTTGTGTGCACACGTGCAAGTGCATCATATGTGTTTGTGTGTGTGGATGCAAATGCCTGCATATGAACACTTGATCAGGTATTTCCAGCACCGCTGCTGCTGAGCACTGGAAACAGGAGGCTGGGAACGAATGGCTAAAAAAAGTGCAAGGTGTATTGAAGGTGTCATGTTTCTGCAACCTAGTACATGAGCGGCTGCCGTTTCTACCTATTGTGCCTCGAGCAGCTCAGTGAAAACAGATGCACACCAGCACAGAAGTGCAGCACTTTAAACAATGCAATAACTAAATAACAAATAACAATTATAGTTAGGGGCACAACTAAATTACAGAACTGAAGCTTAGAGAATCAACTTCTATAAATATTTCAGTTGGCTACTGTAGTGCAGGAGGCAGACATTTTGTCTGGAAATTAGAAATAATTTATTTGGGGGCTGCAACTAATGCATATTTTTATTACTGATTAATCTGTATATAGATATAGATAGATACACTTGAGACATTTAATTTGTTACTGACACCTGGCATCTGTTCATGGTGAGTATCCATGAATACATTATTAATGACAACCTGAAGGTGCATGCACAGAAATGTGTTTTACAGAAGGATGTCAGCGACACACATGCTGAAGCAGTTGCAGTATATGCGTCGCAGTGTCATGTCTATTACTCATGTGGCGGATGTGGCTGTCTACCTGCTGAGGTGACTCCCTGCCAGCTGGCCTCTCTCTTTGGATCAGCCCATTCTTCTTCTTCCATGCCCCATTGACATCCTTCTCTTTCTCAGCCTACAGAGAAAAAAACAAATATTCAAGATTGCTGTCGGATGATTCCCTTAATTCCAGGTGCAGAGCCTGTAAAGTTGAAAATTTTTTAAAATACGGCATTCCACAGTGTGGATACCTTCTAATTATCAACGTTTCTGTTGCAGTAATGCACTCTAGTCTGTCATTGTTTCTGGTTACATGTAGAAAATGTGCTCTCAACAAGAAAGAATGCAAACAAACAAATTTGAGCTATTTTATTATATTTGTTCTTTGCTTATTTGTTCCATCTTCATTTGTATTTGTTGCACAGATTTCTATGTAAATATTAGATTTAGTTTTTCTTTTTTTTGTTTCTTTATTTTGGTTTTAGATCCTTTCGAAAATGTATTTGTGTTCACATCTGAGAAGTGGTGTGTGAGCTAAGCTAGTTTGTTTATTGTTTATTGTCCAATCAATAAAACTGTCATAAATTGTCTCACCAGTCAGTGTCTGTTAAAGACATGTATAGATAGATAGATAGATAGATAGATAGATAGATAGATAGATAGATAGATAGATAGATAGATAGATAGATAGATAGATAGATAGATAGATAGATAGATTCAGACTAAACATTCAGGACCTATTACCCACATAAAGAGTCTTAACATCTCACAGAGATAAGAGTGAGGAGGAACTACAACAAAGATGCCAGTGTTGTCTCATGAACAGAGCCGAGCCTCACATTTCTCCACCACTTAATCTACAGAGGACACGGCGTTGAGAAATGGTGGGGGCCCACTAATAGGCGGATGTGAATTCCAGTAGATGGGAGGGAAGAACAGCCAACATCTTTATGTTTTAACAACACTGCAGCCTCCTTCTCTGAGAGCTCAGAATAACAGTGCTTTGAATTTTACAATGCCAATGTTTGACCAAACTGGTGGACAATGTTTACCTGCTTCTTGTAGCTCAAACTGACATTTTGATGGGAGGAACACACTGGGTTTCTTTTGTTCTATTGCCTTAAGCAGCATGACCTCCTTACAGACGTGACTGACTGCCTTGATTATGTAAGCACGTAAAAAAAACAACTTCAAGACGCCCCCCCCCCCCCAAAAGAACTATTTATCAGTGCATTGTCAAACACTGTGTTATTTGTTTGTTGCACACGAACTGACTGAGTATCATGTGACAGCATGTGAAGGACTCTCCTGATTGGATTAGCTCTTCTTATTTCCGACACAAACATGAAAGCTGTATTTGAAGTCACAACACAAAGACCCTCTCGTGTAGCTCGTTGGGCTGAAGCTTGCTCACTTTGAAGAGACTTTCAGCCATTGTGGTGATGAAATCCAAGGATATAGGTGTAGAAACTTCTATATGTAGCAAATAGGTCTGTTCTTTGTGTGTGCTATGGTGCAGATGTATTATATCTCATCTAGGCCGTGGTCACTGGTTGGATTGTGTCGTCTCAGGTTGCAGGATACACCCTTTCTAATTTTATGTCAAATAACCACCTTAACCAAGATTCCTACTGAAACCTAATCCCTCTGGTTATCTCCAAGGATGTTTCTGTCACTTCCTTCCTCCTTGATCCCCTCTTTCCTTCTTTTCCTTTTTTATCACAAAGTCACAAAAAACACAAGCTCAAAAAGACTCAACTGACCTACATTTGAGTTAAGATTACATGTAAGATCAAAGATTTAACAAATTCAGTGAAAATGTGTTCAATCAAATTGGCTAAAAAAGAACATGGATGCTTTATGTCTAAATAAGTGTAATAAAAATGGATAAATCAAGCCTGCTGAACACTGCTGGTATTTGAGCTAAATGTTGTTGTAACAAGTGACAAGAGTGACGTGTCACAGCAATTACTGCCACACCTGCACAGAGCTCTGGGCTGAGCACTGAATGCATAATGAGTAAATGAAGAGGACATGGAGAGGTGAGTTGTTACCCTCTTGAACCCTGATATTCCCCTTCAGTTTTCCCTGAAATGGCTTCATGGTTTTTTCCACACGGTACTACAGTTTCACAAGCAAATTATATATCAGCTTGTTTTATAATTTAAATTAGTTTCTATTGAGTGAAAAATGTTACTCAAACTGGCACCATAATACTGAATTGGAGACCAGTGTTGTCTTGTACATTACTTTATCCACATGTTCTTGCCAAGAGTTAGATGAGTGGATTGATAACCACTCTCATGTTTGTATAATAAATATGAAGCTGCCACCAGCTACACCAGCTACAGCAGTTAGCTTAGCTTAGTATAAAGGGGAAACAGCTGGCCTGGCTCTGTCCAAAGGAAATGAAATCTGCCTCCAACCACCTCTAATGCTCAATTACACATAATGCCCTGCCATAAAACAACAAATTATAATTTTTTACAAGTTTTCAGTACATAGGGCTTCAGATTAAACAAACAAGATACTGTATACTGTATAATTAATGACCTTCAGAGGTGCTGGTAGGCTCTGTTACCTTTGGACAGAAACAGCTTCCCCCTGTAAGGCCATTTCTAATTGTTTTCATTTTTATGTACTGTTTTTATTTACTCTCTACATTTCCTCCCACTATTTCCATTACACTTAAACTGCCATCCTGCTGTTATTCCACATTAAAATCCTTAACAAGGCATCTACTCCTTCTAACCCCATTAAAAATTCAAGAATCTATGAATTTGCTATTTTTTTCTCTATAGTTTTCCTGTTGGACAGAAGATGTCTCCTACTTCAGTACAAGTCCATTCTCAGTGTATGTGCACTGGTGGCTTCAGGTTTCTATATCACACTTGTAAACTGGACCAGTAATTTCTATATGTAAAGCATTCCCATATTTCTTTGTTTTGTTAGAGCTGCTGATGTCTGTCGAGGGAGAGTGAGCTGCACAGTTGCAGGGTCCTCACTGAACACACACTGAAGTACACGAGAACATGTGTTTGTTACTCTTCAGTTTGTGTTCACTCTTGATTAGACTGTCCTCTACCATCAGTTCCAATAGTCATGGTCACACCCTCCCAAAGGGAAGCACATAGGGAGATTACGGCAGCGTGCTATCATTGGAGTGTGTGGAGGTGTGGTAACTAGACGAACACCATACGCCTTGGCCAAGGTTCATACAAAACATATCACCATGTCATGCACAGTTAAAACGTCCAAAAACCTTTGCAGTGCCAACAATGAGTAAAGTCTCACTCAGTTCTTACACTCAAACTCTGGCAGCAGCCTCTGGACCACAAATTCTGAACACAAACAAAGGCAGGGGCCGAGCAACCTACAGCAAACACCCACACAGCCTGCAGCATACTCAGTACAGTCACAATGTGCACTAACAGACATTGATACTGTACAGAGTGTAATTATGCACTCCAATAAGCAAATGGCATTTTTATGAGCTATGTTTGTTTCGTTACTAATGTTTGAGTCAATACTGTTTCAACTGAGCTCTCAGGTGTCTCAGGTGTCTCTGTGAGATATTAAACATGGTGTCTGTTCAGTAAAAGTATTTCAAATATTTTGTATTGTATGGAATAGATTTACTGTCAGAGTTGAGCTTTGAAGTAAATGTGAAACAGCTGCATGTGCATTATCACACGCACACACCCTCCTGTCATGGTTGTGTAACTGGTCAAGATGATAAAAAAAACACATAAATCTCAGTTGCTCCACCACCTTTCATGCTAGTATTTTTATATTATGATGAATTAATGTTGTATTTTTGGTGCTTATCATTCTCCCATATCGCTATTTTTTAGTGTGTGAGAGAGAGGCACACACACATTCAGTTGGTTTATTGAAACAAAGAGGGAATTTAAGGGTTAATTTAACTCTATTCATTAAACCTTTATCTAAATAGAGCTGTCAAGAAAGACTTATAGGCAGTATGTAGCATGGTTAATTGTAGAAGTTTCAGTGACAGAGATATACGACTTACTGTGTCTGAGTTTGCAGTTCCTGGCTTCTTGTTTTCATGATCCCCCGCATGTAGAGTTAACCTGAGGCGTCTGATCCTCCTCTGAGAAAAACAAACAGACAAAAGGCAAATAAAAAAATGTTCTGCAGGCCTTTTTGCATTATGTCATTATGAGAGAGGAGAGAGAAGAGTTGACATTAAAACATCACTGAAACTGAGGTGGTGGAACAATTGACAAATCTCACAGACCTCAACTGTCCACCACTGTGGGTTTATTTATAGACTATGACAACAGAGCTGCAAAGTTTATGTAAATATAAAACTTTGCTACAGAAACACACATCGCAATATTTACACCACAGTTTGTATAACAACCAAACATTTAAAATGAGACATTTTGAAAGATTTTATTCCAAAGCTATTATTTCAGGGACCTCCCTTCAGTAATGAACAGATATCATACTCAGTTAACTAAATTATAATAGCTTCTTTCTTCCTCAGAAAACAATGGGAATCATTTAAAGGCCGGTACAAAGGCCAGTTTTATAAGAGAGCTGTTCAAATAAACATGACAGCCCTGCCTGCTGCACGGCTCTCATTACATGTTCTTGTAAGTGACCACATCCTATATCCAACATGAACTTTCAGATGATCAGTGGAGAGAAAACGTTAGCTGGGACCCAGAAAATCTGTCTCACTGGCCGGAAACAGACAAGAAACAAGTGGCTGCAGAGTTAAAAGCAACCAGGGGAAAACAGATGAGGGAGGGGAAAAAAACACAGGACTGTTTGCAAAACACAGAAAAGAAGGGAGAGAGAAAAGGGGGAGGTAGAGGGAGATTTTCAGGGTCCTGACTTCTCTGGGACTTCTTACCTCACTTGAACACTCTGGAGAATCCTCTGTTGTGGTGGTGGTGGTGGAAACACTTCGTCCTGAACCGTAGCGAAGCATGTCTCCTCTTCTGTCCACTCCTCGCTTCTCTTCCTCTCCCTCTCCCTCTCTGGACCTCCTCCCACCCTTTCCCTCACTTTCCTTCCTGAGTTCTGCTCAAACTCTCAGAGCGACCATCTGCCCCCGGCTCAGCCAGGGAAGAGGAGGGGAAATTCCACTCTGTCACGTCTAGTTGTGGAGTCCACAGAGCCCCCCGAGGTTCCCTCTCAGTCAGTGATGATCAGGTGCAATCCAGTTCCACACTCAGCAACACAAACACAAGTATGTCATTGTTTTAATTCCAGCCAAACTGCTCCTAAATCCACCTGGTTGACAGGCTTGACAGTCACTCAGCAACCTCCCTGCCTCTCTCACTCTGACACTCTTACTCTCTCTGTGCCTCTGAGTTCCCATCAGACCTGTCGGGCCACATTTCAGCTGCCTCCCTGGTCTGTGCCTCCTGCCCTGAGAGCAGGACTTTCACAGGGCGGGTCCTCTTACTCGGGCTGGGACAGGTGGAGCACTTCTTATCAATAGGAGTGGCTGATAGGAGGAGCCGGTTACTGTTCACAGTAGAGGAGTTTCACAATATTGTTCTGTTGTGGCTATAATGCAAATATGTGTCTCTCTAATAACTGCAAAACGTATTACTACTACATAGTCTACTTCACAGTTTTTATTAACCTGGTATTGTTTTATTATATTAACCTTTTATCAAAATAGATTTATCCTACTTTGAAATATTTATAACAATATTATTTGACAGTTATAGATACTAGTTACACACAAAACACAGGATTGTTTTATTACATGTAATGTATTTGTACAGATTAACTCAACACTATATAAAGTAGTGATGAAGAAAATTCACATTCTCCCACTGGTTTGGTCCCTTTCATACTCAAATTTGTATTCCTACTGTCTCCTTTCCCCTTGATCAAACCCCACACCGGCCCTTCTTCCCTTTGTCTCCATTGAGTTTGGTCTAGACCTGCTCTATTTGAAAAGTGTCCTGAGATAACTTCTGTTATGAATTGGCGCTATGCAAATAAAATTGAATTGAATTGAAAAATTGGTAATCACATTTGGTCTGACCACTACCTTTTGTCTTACTTCCCTCTGACTTCGATGTTGATCATGTAACGTCCACCGACTGCCTGATCAATGGCTGACATTTACATACTGTTAATCATCTCATTTGCTCTAGGTCCGCTTACCGACTCAGACCTGCTCTGTGTATGTAAGTTCACCAGGATGCCGGCATGCTTTATTAAACTCACACCAGCACAGCAAACCTGAACTGGGCTTGAATGATTTTTCTTCAACAGTAGCTAAAATGAGGGCTGAGAAACTGGTTAATACTAAAGGTACAGGAGGTGTCTTGTAGTACAGGAGTTGCTTTGGCCAATAAATTATTAATACTGTTGATAGTGGATAGTGATGAAAAGGAAGACAACACGCAAACATTATTTTTTAATGTTATTGTTACCTTCACAACTGCAACATCTCCTGGTTCAACACGATGATTTAATGCTCATCAGTTTATATTTCCTCATCCTGTCCTATAATATCTTTAAGGGACAGACAGACAATCATCCTGACGGACAGATCACATTCCTCATATGAATGGCCTGCAGTCACTCCCTCTTAATAGAAACTGGAGACACAGAGTCACAGAGAAACAAGTTTAAAGTCTGAAGTTGCCAAACAAGAACCTGTTCAGATGTACATTATTTTTCAACAGAAGTATGCAGTTAGTTAACGTCACAGTACGTCACCAAATATGAAAAGAAAACTTCTCAGAACAATATAAGAGGTATTTCTACAGGCCGAAGTGGTTAATTATTTACCAGACATCAAACAAATGGTGTTTCTTTACTTCTGCAATCAGTGGGCCAGTCACACAGCCAGGCCTCTGTCCAAAGCCAATGTCATGTGGAAATCCATATGGAAATCCTCTCCCATAAACATATGATATTCACTTCCTGTCGTGATTGTACTCTCACTGTTTCGTTATCAGATTCAGTGCTGGATTAATTTCCACTGGGCCGATCTGACAAGAATGATATTATAGTAAATGGACATGGACCAAGTATATAGAACAAGTATATGTGCATATGACTGAAAAAGAGCAATAGATTACACTCACAGCATTGTGAAGGCATTTCTCACTATTTTCTGACTTTCTAGAGGCCAAACAATGAATGTTTAGTTAAGGAAATAATCAGCACATTGATCAATAATGACATTAATTGCAGTAAAATGCTTCTTACATAATATTATAATACAGGCCCAGTGCCACAAGGGGGCTAAAGGGGGCTTAGGCTTTGCCCCCTCGGTTTAAGCTTTATGTCTCTAAAGAAAAAAAGCCAAAACAATTGCATTGTTGAATCAATACATAGCTATTACTTTATGAAGAAACTGCACCCTCGCCATTTTTAACAGCCCCCTCAGTCACTTCATCCTGACACCTGGTAATAACATTTGTCTGCATTGAGATACTTTAATTACATTTGGCTAATAACACTATAATAATAATACAGTTTTGAACTGATTATGAAACAGTCTCAATTTAATACTGATGCCTGTATTTGACTTACATAAACAAACAAGACCATCAGAAGGAAGATTGGCTATTTTTATATAATTATTCCTAATGTCTGTCATTCAGTCGGATTCCCCTTGAAATCAATGAAACAAGGTGGTGGAAACACTACCACTTACATCCACAGGGGGCCACCAGAATCAAAACTAAATGAAAGTTCCTTGTTGGGGTAAAATGATTAATATCACACAGTAATAATACACCACTGCATGTGAAAGTCATGCACTCGAAACGTATCTGAGTACTTTAATTAGGAGCTGATTGTGTCCCATTATTAAGTTGTGTGTATTGTTTGTTGCTGCACGTCAAAGTAGGAGCTGTTTGACCTTCTCTCCTGTGCGGTAGCAGTTGCTTGTGTAGGATTTTGCTGTTGAAACCAGCAACAATAGCTGTTGTCTGTTCAATGTTATTGCGGTTGTGGAATTCAGGTTGACTTGTGTTTTAGTGACTGCTTGACAGAAAAGCACCATTACAACTGCTGACAGACAAATGTGCTGTCTGTGATAAGATGACACAGCTTCACAATGACGCACTGTTTTCAGAACTGTGTTGCAACCTTAATAAAGCAACAGTTTAGTGATGGTTCAAAAAATAACTTTGCTCTGTTCAAGGAACGTTGTGCTCACATGGATCGAAGCTGCTTTGCAAACTTCTTTTCTTAGCAATGTCTTGAAACAAAAACTGTTATTGATCACTGTCACTCTTCCATACTGGCTCCAACAGAGATTCCCTCATATTTTTTCATGGGACAAAGGCCACAGTCCTTGTTCTGTGTAAAACTGACCTCCAAAGTTCAGCTGAGGCTTTAGACAAACCAAGTGCAGATCTTCCAAAATTACTGTCCAACTTTTTACCCTTTCAAGAGTTTTTCTAACGGAAAGGCTCAAAATGAAAAGAAATGACAGCTCAGCCTTTGATAAAGCACATGTTCAGTGATCTAAATGATTTAATTCAAAAGAGAAGGGGCATGCTGGAGAGGTTAATTGTTGACATTTCTGTGTCATAAAAAAAGAGTATCTGACACAATAACTGAGAGATACATGTGAAGATTTATACTGTGTAAGCAATGAATTATCTTATTTCCCCTCTCACTTACCTCTTGTATAGCTCAGGCCTGTTATTTATACTTTGATATGGAAATCTGCAAAGGAAGCTAATAGGTCACTAATCTGATCATCTGTTAATTAATCAGAATCTATGGATCAAGATGCTTGGCTGGAAATAATTTTAATGCAATTTAAAAAGCCAATATAAGTTAAGTAGTCCTTCACATAACTGATTGCAACCTCTGAATACATTACTTTATAGAAATTGACTCTGTGGTTAAACAATGAAACTATGTGTTGATCACGAAAGAGCTGAGATACTTGACAGTGACTCCAAACACAGGAGCCCTGAAAGCAGGTTTGACCTGCTGTACTGAGGCATCCACCTGAGTAATGTTAATAGTATTTCTTAAAATGAAAACATATTAATTGTGTGTTGATCTTGAAATAAGATCGAGTCACTGAACTTACAAGTGGGCCATCAACCTTTATATGGTAAACCAGCCATAAATTAAAAAGCCTTATAGCAAGCTATTAATCATCAAGTATTTGGGAGGTATGTGGGTTGTTTGAGTGGGAGACCTCCCTGTTTAGGTCCCTCTGGGTCTGCAGAGGTCTGACTGCTCAGCCCAGTGATAAAAACCAGCCACCCCTCCCACGTACAAACCATTTACTGTCTGCCACTTCATTACTAATGTTCATACCCGTGGAAAAATAATGAAGCACAGAAACAAGCCTTTCCATTGATAGTGAGCACTTTGTTTCACACCAATGAACTCACAAAACTCCAAATGCACATATTATCATCTGATCTTCTAGGAAAGAACCAAAACAATGAAAGCTGATATCTTTGAAAGTGCTATATAAATAAAGCTTTACTCACTTACTTTAGCATTATTACAGCTAGGGGGCAGCATGGCACTGTGACATTTTCACGGAAACAAGCACAAACTGTTTTTATTTTTTCTGTCTGCCTACAATGAACCGCCTGAGATGTTTCTAGATCCCAGTAAGACTTGTAAAACTTGTATGTTTCCTATTTAGTGCTGTGAAATAGAGAGCTCTGTGTGAAAGAGCTCTTAATCTACCCCCTTCACATCAGAAAACACCCACAGGTCCCACCAAGACAACTCTCTCTCAGCTGTCTACCTCTTTACTCCTCAGCACTCACTCTGGTAGCAGTCACTCAAGCACATAAAGGAATCCCAAGAATGATCACCTTGTTAAGCATACGCAAGTTTTCCCTCTTAAGCTGTGCTGTCTGCAGCCCCTATTAGTTTACTGCTTGGCTTGACACAAGAGAGAGAAAAATAATGTTGTGGCACTTGAAAGGTTGATTTGTTTGTTCCAGATAGAATAGCAACAAATGAAGGTCATGCCCTGCCAACAATAGCCCGTCAGCCAGTGAGATCAAGAAAGCCCAGTCTATTCACCTCTTTGTTCTGCTGTAGTCAGCTGTAAAAGTGAATATAAAGAAAGTTTTCAGACTGGGGCAGAGAGCACCAGTTTTTATGTTTTATTTTAAATCACTCGCTAAAAGTGGATTTAATGTTGTTGGTTATTTTTAACATTGATCGACAGAAAAAAGACAATTATAAGACAATACAATGTAACCTGAATGAATTACAAATACAGTTTCAACCATCCTGCTCTACACCCCCAGAGACTGAAGGAGGTCAAAGCTCAGCACTGAAAGGTGATCAGGCCCAGACACGGGATTCATTTGCTTCATTTGTTCCAGCAGGAAAAATACTGACCCGCTGAGCACGAAATTAAAGATAAAGAGCTGCTATTGACACAGCTGCTTTGACCCCACAGAGATTTTATCGGAGGATGAGTGAAGTCAGTGATCACTAGACTGATCAAATCATCTCAGTCAAAACCAGTGGTGGGAAGTACATTTACTCGAGTACTGTACTGTAAGGTTTACAAGTACCATTCTGAGGTACTTACTTAGCGTTTCCTCTTCCTGATATGTGATACATTAACTCCACTATATTCCAAAGAGAAATATTTTGCTCCACATTTATCTGATTGCTGGAGTTACTTTGTAGATTAACATTTTGCATAGAACAAGTAATTTGTGTCTATTAAGTGCTAAAATGTATTTTCTTAAAACAAGTGAAAAATGCTGCCATTTCTAAAAAAAAAGTCAGATTTCTGTAAGAATTTTTTTTTAAATCAACTAGAAACTAGATAAATGGCAGTTGTTTTTTATTGCTTATTTTAAGAAGGAAACAAAAAATATCATAATCGTCACATAATGTAATATACATAATGCTGCATGTTAATATTTATGTAATAGATATTCCATGTTACACATTAAAACACTGTGTAAAGGGTCATTCTGCATACTTTAATTACATTTTGCAGATAATACTTAAGTAGTTTTAAGTTAATCGAGTACTGTCAGACTGTGGTATTGGTGCTTTTACTTGAGTAAAGGATCTAAATACTTCCTCCACCACTGTGCAAAACTAACTATATCCAAATTTCTCAATCAATAAATATCTGCATATTGATAAATACATTCATTTTTCAATGAAGGAGGAGTAAAGGAGAAAAACAACTGTTTAATTAATAATTAATTAATAATTGTCTGGATGGGACACTTAAATGTTAAAATCAGTTGCCAGGAATAATTCAACAAGGACAAAGCATTTGAGAGTAACTGGAAGTAAATTTATTTTAGTCTCAGCAGGATTTATCAACATACAAATGTGTACAGAGAGGTAGTGGTAATTTGTCTCAATCTACTCTCCCTCCAGAGGCGTCGGACTTGGGCATATTAAGCACAGAGCCAACAGAGAGTGCAAATCATCACAGTGTAGTAAAAACATCAATTGTCAGTTTATCTCATGTGAAGAAAATTCCCTCATTTAGTTCAAGGAAAATTAAAAAAGGGCCACACATTCTTACAGGCACTGGACGGCCTCATGTATGAAAATGTTAAACATTAAACAAAAAGAATTAAACATGTTCAGTATTAACAGAGAGAAATCACCAAGTTAAATCAAAGTGTTTCCAGTATAATAATTGTCTTCAGAGATTAATGGTTTTTGATATGTGTGGCTTTGTTCGGTACTGAAGTCTGATTCAGAATCAGTAATCACAGAAAAGACTAAAGAAAGCTCATTTCCACATGCTCGTATGACGCAGCCTTTTCCAGTAGATGTATAAGCAATACTGTGATGTGGCTAATATTTGGAGAAGCCTGTCTGACAAAATGTTACACTAATGTTTCAATGCTGTTGATAATATTTTCATGGATCTATTATTTGTCATCAAACCATATAAAACTGTATAAAAATGGATGTGTACAAAGTCCCTCATTTACTGTTCCCTAAAACCCTCACTGAGTCAGGATTTTGTATATTCAACCAAGAATAAATAAAAAACAAAACTTCCTGGTACTGCTCACTTCATATATTCAGATTTGATCTTCATTCTTAAAAAAAAAAAAAAAAAATGTAAATATATTTTATTTGACTGAATTATACAAAAAATAATATTCAGATATTGTATGTAAATCTAACATATTTGATAGGCATAAAAAAAGTTAAAGGGTTAATAACTTCATATTGTTTACAAAGGCAGTACTGGTTGCGTTGCTTTACAGTGCATTAAAGAGTGCATTTTCAAGTTTACTATTGCTATATAATCATTGACAAGCACATGTAATCCATTTGTTAACAAGGAAAATAGACTCAGAATAGAACTAATTTACATGAGACTAAATTTGTGAATGTAAAATTACCAGATTAAACAGTATATACATTCAATTTCTAAATGATGATTTCATCCATCAATCTCAGAGCTATTCAATTAATACTGAGTAAATTTATGGACATCGAGATTGTACCTAGAATTAATATCCAGGAGAATTGTGTTAACTCTGTTGAAGTGGATTTTTACAGTCTCTGAATATTCACACAGATGTTTTGGTGTAATATTTACAGTTTTGTTCAAAAGCACATGGCACGGATCTCCAGCCGTTTGGTCCAACAGTGATGAATATACAGCAGCTTTATCCTCGACCTCAGGGTTTGTTTACAAAGTGAAGGAGGACAAGATGTTGTCTTGACTTGAGGAGCGTTTGTACCCCAATGATGAGCTGAAGTACGTCTCCCCATCAGTGCTGATGTCATCGTCGTCATCGTCGTCGTCGTGCAGACTGTTCAGCAGCGGGGCAGAGGAGCTCTTACGCCTGGGTGAGACAGAACAATATTATATCTAGGACACTGAGAATATCTTTTTAAAAAACCTTTTCTTGTCTTTTTTGTTGTTGTTTACCTGATTTCACTTCGCAGAGCTTTGAGCTGGCTCTGGAGCTGCTCGTTGGCCTCCTGTTGCTCATCCAGGTCTCTTTGCAGCTTCTTCTTGCTGTGCTCCAGTCGGTCGATCTCCTCCTCTGACTCATCCATCTGCCGTTTCAAGGCCTTCAGACGCAGATTCAACTTGAAGAAGAATCAACACACACAGCGTCAAAAAAGGGTTTAACAAAGCATTTTCACTATATGGCTGTGAGTTTAATGGCTGTTAGTCTGAACATTAGTGTTGTATTACGTACTTGGTCCTTTTGATCTTGCATTGTGTGTTGTTCTTCTTCACTTTGCATCATCATCTCTTTTACCTTCCTTTCCAGCCTGCGGTTCACCAGCTGCAGGTTGGCACGGTCCCTGAAACACATGTAGCGCAATGCATCATCATACATGTCATGCAGCACATCGTTCGACTTGCATAAGTCTTAAAACTCAAAAAGGATTAAGAGTTTCCTCTGGATATAATCTCTTATATAAGCTCCAACATTGTAGCTTAAATCCATCAATGTCTCAACTTTCATCTGAAAGCTAGAAGTCACTACCTGGCTGTCATACCCAACCTAATGAACCTCTCTTTTCAGTCAACCTTCCCCCCAAAGCTTTCCTCTTCCATCACCTTAACCACAGAGCATCTCATCTCTATTCCCAATTGGAGGATTTGTCTCACCTTTCCTCCCCTTCCAGCCTCTCCTCCAGCTCCTGTATGCGTTCCTCCAGCTGGGCTACCAGGCCCTCTTTGTTGGACTTCTGGGAGCCCTCTAGATGAGACAGTCTGCCTTTCAGATCTTTGTTCTGCAGAGGTCACAGAGAGAGAGAGAGAGAGGTAGTGAGGTGCTCAACTGGGCAAATGTATGTTTTTACATAATCATATCAGCGCATAAAAAAAATATGAATTTGAAATTTATGTGAGAATGGATACAATCAAATGAAAATGATGAAGACATATGAATGAAATGAGTTGGTGCTTTGTTGTGAGTTTGTAGAGTTAGACTGTGTGTGTGTGTGTGTGTGTGTGTGTGTGTGTGTGTGTGTGTGTGTGTGTGTGTGTGTGTGTGTGTGTGTGTAGTTGTTTTCCTCCAGACAGGAGAGTGTGTACCTGTCTCTCCAGAGCCATCTTGTCACACTCCAGGTCCTGTCTGCTAGCCCTCTCCTGCAGGAGTTCATTCCTCATCTGCTCCACCTGTCAAGCCGAGTCCAGACACTGTCATCGCTACAGTCCCACACAATCTGATGACAATTATTATCCGAGACACTGTCTGAGTCTCGCTCAGCAACAAAAACCACTGTAGCGCTAGGTGAGTCAAAATGCTAAACAATAGAAGAGTTAATGCTCAGAGAGCCTCAGTTAATTGGTGAGCTGGATTTTCTGGTTTGGCTTCAATCCACTTTTTGTTGAGATCTTCATGTAAACTCGCAGTGACACAGGGACGTAGTGGAAAAAAACAGTAGTTTCTGTAGAGAAACTATAGCTGTGTGCTTTCAGACTGTATATAATAACTACAACATTGTAGCTTTTACACTTAGCAACACTTTTGTGTGAAGTGTGTGAGATGATTCAACATTAAAGGTTGTCACCAGCAGCTGGTTAGCCTAGCTTAGCATAAAGACTGGGTACATAGGGAAACAGCTAGCGGGTAACAAAAATCTGCCCTCCTAATCAGGGCATCTCGTTTGTTCCAAAACTGAAACATAATGGGGTTATGTGAATATAATAAGCTTTAGAGGTTAGTTTTTGTTACCAGGGAAGCGGTTTCCTCCTGTACCCAGTATTTATGCTAAGCTAACATAATGGCTGCTAGTCTTATATTTAACAGGCAGAAAACAGTGCAGTATAGATCTTCTCATCCAATTCTGGGCAAGAATGTGTATAATAGTATATCCCTTTAATGTCAAACTATTCCTTTAATACTAATCTGGTGTCATCATTTATCCACTCACTGACCACTAAATAAACTCAGAGGCCTCACTGCATGAACATAACTGTCCACTGATAGCCTAGTTCAAAAGAAAGGGAGGATGAAAACTAATCGATACAGTGGTGATGGTTCTTTCTTTGTGAGGGGAGCTTAGAATTGGTGATATTTTATGCCAATTAGTGGGTGACAGTGGGCTGCTCTGATGAACGATGGCCCCTATAACTGGTGCACCCAGCACAGTGCTTGAGGGAGCTGAATCAGCAGACTGGAACATACAGCGAAACTAATCTGCTTTGTGAAAGACGGCAGGAGAGGAGAGGGGAGATTACTCTCATTTAGACAGGAGAGGAGCACCTGGTGCCAGGAGAGACGCAGGTGTTCTTCCTGCTGCCTCTGCTGCAACCCCACCACCGCTCCACCCCATAGCCATACACCAACCCCCTCCTCCCCACAGACATGAGAGCACACACACCAGCACATACCCGCATGTGTGTGCGTGCTCGCAAAACACACACCACCAGCACTCAACCTACTCCACTCTGACTGCACAAAGCTCGAGTGTTGCCTTGACAACCGACCTCAGCCTCATGCTGAACCAATGCCACTTTGTCACAATGCCACTCTTTTCTCATTGCCAGGAATTTTTTTAAAGGGAAATCATTTAAGGAGATTTAAATACTCTACTCAACCACGCTAAGCCTCTCTTCATGTCGCTATGCACATTAATTTAAAATTTTGGTCACAACCTTTGAATTTGTGTCAGCTCCAGACTGAGAGGCACCTGTAACCAAGCCAAATCTCACAGGCCTGTCTTTGGAGCTCATAGTTTTGAGTTGCAAAGGTGCCATGAAACTCTGACCACTGCGCTATGAGACATACACATTAGCATAAAATCAGTAGGGTTGCAATAAAGCAGTGTTATTTCAAAAACTTGAGCACTAACATCCTCCCTCTGATTAGTAAGCACTCTCCCATGAACAAACAACAATCCTAAAAGCACATGTACTTTATCTAAATCTTACTTCACAGTGCCTCCGTCAGCAGCTTTATCAGCGAGGAAGGAAAACTGGAGCATTTGCTGCAAGGATATAAAAACTGACTTCAAGCACAAGAACTGGATTTGTTCTCGAGGTGAAGTTACTGAGCGTAATTTCCAAGTGAACTCCACAACCTGAAAACTTGAGACATTTGGCAGCTTGCATATTTTGGCTCGGGCAGTGCATTAAGAAGGGTCTTTTGTGGCTGATGCATGAAAATTGGATAGACGCTCTCAGACCACGCTGGCAGGCTGCCAACCTGAATGATTATGCAAGATCATCTTACAAAGCAATAACCTGTCCACTTTATCCTGACCAGAAATAAACTGGGGATTTGTAGAGTGTGGAACACACACACACACACACACACACACACACACACACACACACACACACACACACACACACACACACACACACACACACACACACACACACACACACACACACACACACACACACACACACACACACACCATCAACCTGCATGTGAATTGACTCTTTCGAGACTGTATTTGAGACCTGAACCTGTTTTGTGGAGATCGTATGTTGGTTTCATTCAGAGATTAGTGATTGCGGTCATGATGTTAGAGGTGGAAGACAAAGCAACAGGAGATCTGGATATCATTTACAGGTTGAGATGGAACAGACACATGTCTCTGTGAACTTAAGTGATGGACAGCAGGTCACTGACACAGGTGAGCACTGATAATGAGAATGTGTTGAGTGCATGTGTGTACGTGTGTTGTACCTGCTCTCTTCCACGGTCTATCCTGTCCATCAGCTGGTCTCCACTCTGACGCTCCTCATCCAGGTCCAACTCCAGCTGAGCAATCCTATCCTGCAAAACCAAGTGGTTACATCCGTCAGGGTGAGTGAGCGTCGTTATCGGAATCTGTTTTCAATCAATATTTAGCTTAACCATAGACAACTGAGGTTCACTGAGGCGTATATCAGCGGCTTTATTTGACAATAATATGTACCTCCATGAGTTTGACATGTCTAGCTTTCTCTTCTTTAGAGTGGGCCTTCGTCTCAGCCTCCACCTCCAGATCTTGGACCTTTTTCTCCAGCGCCTTCTCTCTGAGCACGGCCTCGTCTCGTTCCCTCTGACACCGCTGCAGGTCCTCCTCCTGGTGTGACAACTAAAACGAAATGCATCCAAACACTTTAACGCCTGAAAAATTACTAGAACATCACACAGAAAATTCCCAATGATACATGTTTGATCCCTGAAGATCAGTGAAACTGGTCGAGTAGGGGTTCAGCGTCTCATTAAAAGGACCCTCAGCATGTTATAAATACTCCTGCAGTAAGTGTGGATTAAACCTGGCTCTCCTGGTGAAAGTCCATCTCCCTGTTCAATGTGTCATCAGACTTCCTTTCACATTTAACCGCTGCAGCGATGACCAACAATTTAGTTACTGCTTAGGGAAATTATTATATGGTTCCCCCGAGTGACTAATGAACCCAGTGCAGCTAGTGTTTCCCCCTGTGTTTATTCAGCAGCAGTGCCCCCCACAGCTGGAAAATTGCCCCCACTGCTTAATGCTAAGACAATGAAAATTCATCATCTGCCCTTCTTTCTTACCCAGAACAAATATTTGGCCATTAGTGCAGAACTGTTCCATATTTCATCATGTAAATACTTAAGTAAGACCTAATTTAAGCCATAGAGCACACAAAGACTTAGTAATAGGTGTAATGGGATAATCGTGCTTTCTCTCTAAGCTCCTGAATAGCTAAAATCAAGTTTGGATATAAATACATTTCTGCATTAACAAAGAAATTAAGCAGATCTAGGGAGGGAAACCTGCTATAAGTAACTGCTCTTTTTGCTGCCTTCATGGCCAGGTGTCTTGAAAAGAAAGAAGAATGGCCTACACTTGTAATTTTAGTGACAGTCTGCCAAGTTTACATGGGTGGAGATGGTCAGGGCATTTGAGAGCAGCTGGAAAAGTGGACTCACTAGGCCCAGTCCAGAGCAATCAGTTTCTCAGGAGAGGTGGAAAAGGAGGATGTGAATCCTGCCAGCACAGCTTTCACAACAATGATATCACAATACTGACATCCCCCTCTTCCTGTGCACCAGCTGGACGAAGATTCATCACCATGGATGAAGGCAGGAAAAAAGAATGCCGACCTTGTCCTTACATATACACTGAAATCCCTCATCAGGAACATCCAGATCAGTAAAAATGGCAGCATGTTATGAATGTCAGATAAAGGCTGAAAGTAATGACTACAGGTTCCACTAAAAAGCTCCTACCAGAGAAGGAAATGTCAATACTCTTTTTATTTCTTTGCTAGGAAGCCTCTTGAGCTTAAATCAGGGCATAGCCTGCCAAAACCTCTATTAAAAAAGGTACCCAGTGGACTTTTAGTTATAAACAGACACGGTTTTGTTTACAGGGTTAGAGAGAGGGCACATTGTAAGTATCTTTAAAGCCAATGAAACACACTGAATGAATTTCCTACCTCAAAACGTTCTACAAACCCTTCCTTGATTAAAAAAAAAACAAAAAACCCTGGATTGTTTACATCGGCTTATTTACAGTGATCTTCTTCTCTTCCTTAATTGGCGCCTTGCGTCCATTTAGGGCACATTACCTCTAACAACTGTTACTTCCCTGTGAAGCAGAGACGTGTATCACATGACCACAGTGCTCCTGGTGTACATTTTATCCAAGAGTGCAGCACAAAACTAAACATTGTTGCACAGCAAACGAAAGGTCAAAAACACCACCTCATTTTGGTATTAGATATTCTTCTTTTTACGCAACCAAATCAAACCTCAACATATTTAGCTCACCAAAAAGTGTTTATATTTGGTGCGGGGATACACCTCCAAAGAAAATCATCCTTTTACATTTTCTGCTTCTGGGTCTGAAATGAGCAGAAAACCTGATAATGAAGTGTGACAATCAGTTATATCTTATTCACAGAGCCTATAACTCACAAGGTCTCAGAAAAACTTCAGATGGATGGAAACCTAGAAGGAGTGCCGATCTTTTAAGTACTGTTATCTGTATTACAAAGTATAATATATGTCACAATGTCCTAAAATATTCTGCTCTCACTGAACTATAAAACTGTTTCTGCATGGTCACCTTAAATACAATCTCAACTACCACACCTTCTTAAATAAATATTTGATAAGATAAATAAAACAACATAAGAAATGCTTTTTCTAATATAAATTATTCACGTTAATCTATTTCTACTTTCAACAAAAACCATTCTTCACATTCCAAAGTGCTGACAAGGATAAATTACTTGAATGCAAACAACACAGAGTGGTCAGTTTGACCATGATGGTGTTATGGCCACACATCAAAGCATTATAAAGGAATTCCCCACATTTCCATTTTAATTCTAACTCCGTGTGTAAACTTTAATTTTAATAAAGAGCAGTAATTTTCTGCGGCTTGACTCAGCTCAACGTCTTCACTTTAATACTATGTTTTGGGTTTGAGGGCAACAGGGAGCAGAAATACCAAAGTGATGACATCGCTCTCTGAAAGGAGACGATGATGTTGAGGGGGGAGGTTAAACTGGCGGAGTGAGAACAATAGCTCGTCATCTGCTGGTCTCCATGGGAGGGCTCAGTTGGACTGACTAATGATGGCCTTGATTTGACCACTCTCGCCATGAAAGCAGTGTCAGCGTTTAAATCTGTGTTGATTACGTTAGACGTGGCTGACGTAGACCACTGTACCTCTTCTTGCAGGGTTTTGGTAGCCAGCAGGTACTTCTCCAGCTCCTGTCCTCGCTCCTTCAGAAGCCTCTGCAGCTCCGTCAGCTCCCGACGGTTCTTCTCTTTATAAATGTCAATCTGCTCCTGCAGCTCCCGGGTGGATGACTGAGACGCATCCACAATATCATTCATCTGCAGGCACAGTGAGGAAGAGCACAGCCCAAAGACAGAAAGCAATGTGAGAGAATCCTTTCAAATCTCTCCATTCTAAAAAGTAAAGGTGAAACACTTCAATGGTCATTGCAAAGAAAATGTTAATCAGGCATACTTGCTTTTACTTTTTCTGCCAGTTGGAATTTTAAACCAATTAACCGATTAAATGAAGCTTTCAATATACCCTGTCTCCTAGATCAAGAGTGCCTGAGGAACATTTTATTTTCTCTAAAGAAAAATAACATTCTCTGGACCACTTTGAAACTGAATGAGTACTTTGAGTCTTCATTGTTTAAATAACTTACTACTGAATAACTACAATTCAAATGTTTGCTAAAAATAAAATACAAATGATCAGCAGTTTCAGCGATGAATGTCACTGTACTCCAGACTCGAGTACACTCACCTCCCTCTGGAGTTTCTCCACTGTCCGATCCAACAACCTCCTCTCATCCTCTATGTCGTTCTTCATGTTCTTGAACTGCTCCTTCTGAGTCCTCTCCTCTTGTAACCTCTCCTCCAACTCCTTGTGTTCACTGCTCAGTTTGGTCAAGTTCCTCTGTAGAAGGACACAATATTAAAAAGGTGTCAAACTCTAATACATTTCTACACATGCAGCGGAGCGCAGTGTTAGTGTTAGTGCTAATCTCACCTGCACATCCTCCAACCGAATAGTCAACGCTCGATTGGCACGTGACATTTCCTCTTCTTGCTCCTTAATTTCAGCCAAAGATTCTTCCAATTGCTTTTTCTCTCTCTGTTAAGTGGACATAAGACTTTTATATAGTATAATATGCTACAGCAATATAATAAAACTAGCATCAGTTGCAGTTCTGCAACCCCTTGACCCCTCACCTCCAGTCGGCCAACTCTGTCACCCAGCCTGCTCTCCTGTAGCTTGGCCTCATCAATGATGCGGTTGAGTTTGGCCACCTCATTCTCCAGCTCTTGTGCCCGCCTGCGCAGCCGCTCGGCCTCTTGGGACAGACGCCCTGCTTGGCCCTCCACTGCACCCTTGGCTGCCTCCACTTCAGCCTTCTCACGGACCACTGCTGCGCTGCTCTGTTGATCAGAACAGGACACGAGGCTTCAGTACAAAGGAGGCAGGAGTCTGTGACACTCAACAGAAAGAGGAACGACGATGCACGATGGAACATTTGAGACTCTCTCAAATGCCTCATGCAACAAAAAGCTGTTTGAAGTGCTTAGTTTCTCACTGAAGATTTGTTGCTGGGGAGACACAGAATAACAATGTCCTTCTGTAATACTCACACACTTCATAATAAGCCACAAATTCGAGGCAATTAAATCTGAGCTCTCATTAGCCTCTGCTGATTGAGGGCCACACAAAGTCGGCAGGTTAGCAAGACAGACATGCTAGTTTCCTGTGTCACTGGATTAAAAGTTTTTCCACCTGAAATACTGCTGTAAGATGACTTTTTAGATGCATCTTGTGACCACAACCTAGCCAGAAATATCACTCATAAAACTTAGAGTACAGTTGTAGTCTGCACTTCTAACAGGGCAGTGGCATGGTGAACAGGGAGTCCTGTGAGCTCTCCCAGCGCCAACGTTTATGAATGAAGAGTGTGCTTTGGCTCTGAAATTTTAGGGTGGAGCGCTGTGCATGAGAGTAAGACTGGGAGACAGGGAAATACGTACAGTGCCTTGCAAAAGTATTCACCCCCCCTTGGCATTTTTCGTGTTTTGTTGCCTCACAACCTGGAATTAACATGGATTGTTTGAGGATTTGCATCATTTAATTTACAGAACATGCCTACAACTCTGAAGATGTTTTTTTTTTTGTTAATTGTGAAGCAAACAACAAATAGGACAAAATAACAGAAAAAGTCAATGTGCATAACTATTCAACCCCCTAAAGTCAATACTTTGTAGAGCCACCTTTTGCAGCAATCACAGCTCCAAGTCACTTTGGATAAGTCTCTATGAGCTTGCCACATCTTACCACTGGGATTTTTGCCCATTCCTCCTTGCAAAAGTGCTCCAGCTCCTTCAAGTTGGATGGTTTGCACTTGTGAACAGCAATCTTTAAGTCTGACCACAGATTTTCTATTGGATTGAGGTCTGGGCTTTGACTAGGCCATTCCAACACATTTACACGTTTCCCCTTAAACCACTCAAGTGTTGCTTTAGCAGTGTGTTTGGGGTCATTGTCCTGCTGGAAGGTGAACCTCCGTCCTAGCCTCAAACCACGCACAGAGTGGTACAGGTTTTGCTCAAGAATATCACTGTATTTAGCACCATCCATCTTTCCCTCAACTCCGACCAGTTTCCCAGTCCCAGCTGCTGAAAAACATCCCCACAGCATGATGCTGCCACCACCATGTTTCACTGTGGGGATGGTGTTCTTTGGGTGATGTGATGTGTTGGGTTTGCGCCAGACATAGCGTTTTCTTTGATGGCCGAAAACTTCAATTTTAGTGAAAACAGACCAGAGCACCTTCCTCCATACATTTTGGGAGTGTCCCACATGCCTTTTCGCAAACTCAAAACGTGCCATTTTGTTTTTTGCTGAAAGTAATGGCTTTCTTCTGGCCACTCCATAAAGCCCAACTCTATGGAGCGTACGGCTTATTGTCGTCCCATGTACAGATACTCCAGTCTCTGCTGTGGAACTCTGCAGCTCCTCCAGGGTTACCTTAGGTCTCTGTTCTGCCTCTCTGATTAATGCCCTCCTTGCCCTGTCCGTGAGTTTTGGTGAGCGGCCGTCTCTTGGCAGGTTTGCTGTTGTGCCATGTTCTTTCCATTTGGTTATGATAGATGTGATGGTGCTCCTGGGGATCATCAAAGATTTGGATATTTTTTTATAACCTAACCCTGACTTGTACCTTCAACAACATTGTCCCTTACTTGTTAGGAGAGTTCCTTGGTCTTCATGGCAGTGTTTGGTTAGTGGTACCTCTTGCTTAGGTGTTGCAGCCTCTGGGGTCTTTCAAAAAAGGTGTGTATATGTACTGACAGATCATGTGACACTTAGACTGCACACAGGTGGACATCATTTCACTAACTATGTGACTTCTGAAGGTAATTGGTTGCACCAGAGCTTTTTATGGGCTACATAACAAAGGGGTTGAATACATATGCACATGCCAATTTTCAGTTTTTTATTTCTAAAAAAGAGTTTTATGTATATATTTTTCCCATTTCACTTCACCAACTTAGACTATTGTGTTCTGATCTATCACATACAATTCAGATTAAAAAAACATTGAACTAAAGGCTGTAATGTAACAAAATAGGTAAAAAGCCAAGGGGGGTGAATACTTTTGCAAGGCACTGTATGTGTGTGTGTGTGTGTGTGTGTGTGTGTGTGTGTGTGTGTGTGTGTGTGTGTGTGTGTGTGTGTGTGTGTGTGAGTGAGTGAGTGAGTGAGTGAGTGAGTGAGTGAGTGAGTGAGTGAGTGAGAGAGAGAGACAGAGACAAAGAAAATTGATGATACAACTGATAACAGGTTTCAGTTTTGATGACACCCTTACAGTGAGTGACAGCGTCAATTGAAACAGACTTCCAAAGGTTTGTTTAGTAGCAAGAGTTTGACATGGAATGTAAGAAAACTGGTTTGTCAATTTCCTGTTTATCTCAGTACGGCGAGGAATGCCCACACTTGTACACAGAACAACAGAAGACACTTGTAAAATCTATAGTTACTGTTTCACTATTAAAACAGAGCTGAAACGGCTTAAAAATTAAATTAATTAAACACTCAAGATGTGTGCAAAAAGGGTAAAAGCACATTGCTAACATCCAAGTACATTACAGTAGATGCACGCACAGAAACAAGAAGACACACACACACAGACACAGACACACACACACACACACACACACAGACACACACACACACACACACACACACAGACACACAGACAGACACACACACACACACACACACACACACACAGACACACACACAGACACACACACAGACACACACACAGACACACACACACACACACACCCCCTTCTGCCTTGAAAAACCAACTGATTGAGCTGTAACCCAGCTGGTGACACACTGATGAAATGTGACACAGAAAAATGAATCAACACAAACATGGTACTGGTTATTATTCTCAAGCAGTACCCTTTTTGAAGTGCTGCAGAAATCCTTACAGCAGACACCTCCCTGCTAAATTACATCACAATCAGCAGGAAGAGCAGGATCATAAAACGTGGGCTCCTTAGACATATATCAGGAAAAGCATGGCCAAAAAAATACAACATTATGACGTTACAGCACTGTAGTTAGTGTCACCGGGATTTTGAGGTCTTAGAGGTGGTGACTTATTTACAAATGCAAAATGTAGTTTCTTCAGGAATCCAAAGTCTACAACTCACCAGTCACCCCTTAATACCCTTTGTGACTAAGGTGAAAGACACTCGTTGGTCAGCTCGTCTTGTCTTCACTGTGCGTGAACAGAGGCACCTCCTGTGCTAGAAAGGTGACGGTTGCCTCCCTGCTTCAGTGGTGGCAGGCTAGTCAGACCTGTTTCCCCTGTCACCACAGAGCCGCCCTCATCTCCACCTCACTGGGTCATGTAGTTGGTCACAGGAGCGAGAAGCCCTGTACAGACTAAATGCTGCCAAATCCAGAGATAACATTGTTCCCCCTCTCAAGATCAGCCAAAGAAATTAGCATTTCTGTTTTATGCATTATGACACCTCTCTAAAAAAGCTTCAACCAAAACTAAACATTATAATTTCCATGAAGGTAATACATTTGCTGTTGCAAGGTCTGACACATCTGCAGTTTTGTCATGTTGTGTTATAGCAGTTTCCTCATAGTGCCATGAAAAAGATTTTGCAACCAAAACTTTAATACATGAGTTTATAAAGGAAACAATTCTGAAAATTGGCCGTAAAACTGAAATGCCCCCAAATCTGCATCAGTGTTAATGTTATTGCCATCAAGTTAATTCTGATATTAAGTCATTTTCTAGCATGTTTACATTCTGTTATGCATGTGGTTCTATTGGTAATACCGTGACTGCGTGGCAGCTCAGGAATGGAAAAAGGGGTTTGATGGGATGTGGAGCTAAACACAGCTTTCACAACAATAATACAGCATTGATAGAGAGTGTCAGGGTTGTATCAGTGCTCCGTTTTAACAAAATACACAACAAGTTCAGCCCTCATACTTCTCTGTCCCACTTCCCACACTGGGTCACATGAATTGAAAACATGGGCAAAGCCACCCAGCCAGAAAGAGAGAGACCCTGCTGCTGTATGTGAGAGGAAGTGGGAGGGGATGCAATGACAATGTCTGTGAACTGAAGTGTTAAAACTGCTTGTGGAAAGATCAACTATTCTTGAATTGTAAGACAAACACGTAAATGTCACCTCTAAGAGAACCCTTCATGTATTATATAGTTATATTAGCTGACTAATTTCTTAAATACTAGTTATTCAGTTTCTCATAAGTCTTCACTACCTTTTTTATTCACTGTTACAAAGAGTTAATCATTCACTAAAGGTGTTAAAACATACCTAACAATCACTGAAGGATTAGTACTAACTAAACAATCACTTTATCAGCTATTAGACAATGATTTGTTTAATTTGTCTATTTAATATAATTCTTTATCGCCTCTTTAAATACAAATAAAACAAAGAGTCTGACAGCACAAGCTGATTTCAGCATATTAGTACAATATCATACAAAAATATGTGGTAACATCAAACCGCTAGTCTTTTTTTCCCCCTCGACCCGAACTCAAAGTTTGACTCGTGTGTGTACTCATACTGTTTGTCTAAAGTTGCACATTAACTAACATTGTGCAGTCTTTGAAGCACGGCATGAACGCTGTAAGTGAAGCATGGGCCCCAGGTTGTGTGCTGTGGTGAAATCTTGGATGTCTCGGTTATTCGCACCAAATCAGCTTCCAGCATAACAAAAGCTAATGTTCTAAAAATAAATACAGCTGCAAGTAACCTGCAACAGAAACCCTAACAACCAAGCTGAGTGTTGATCATCAATACCAACTTTTATAAAGGTCGGGGAGATTAATCCCATTATCGGGTATCATAGATTCACACCACCACAT